TTCCAGCAAGTTTTCAGAGCTTCACCAATCTACAAAACTTGGGCATTTCGAATGCCCTGAACTGGTGAGCAATGCGAGAAGGAAACAGGGAGGGGATGACTGGTACAAGATAGCACATGTTCCAAACATAGACGTGGAACCCCTGCGGTAAACGGAAACATAAAAGACTAATTGTTGCATTAAGCTGAGAGTATGGGCCTTTCCAAGCTTTCTTCTTATGCTTATCATAAGTTCAAAATTTTGTTCTCACTATAAACATTATATTTGGATCCGTTGCAGACATGATGAGCTAGGGCCGCTCTATCACAGCCACTCAGGTGTTTGTGGGCAGTTATTCCAACATTACGCCAGCCAAGGCGGAAATTTCATGTAACACGTATTATTATTTTTTTTTGGTTTTTGTTTTAATGAGGATTGTAATGTATATTGAGGTAGCAGTTATGTTTGAATACTTGTATTGTAAATAAATGTGTTCTGCTCGTCCTTATGTGTGTATACCAAAGACTTTTTTTTTTTTTTTTTTCAACGTTTTACAATTATTCTGTGATTCTCCTTTTGTAGATATGGAATAATGTAAAACGACATGGTTTGATGTTTGATGATTTGATTTGATTCTGTCAATGCAATCAATTCTTGAAACCCTAGCTAAGATAAGAGAAAAACTGTTGCTTGTCCTAGTGTTGTTTTCACACACAAACGTTTCTATATTATTTGCTAGTACTTGCAATCACAATTCTCTCTCTGAGCTTTGGATTTTGAACTTGCATTTCAAACGGGCTTCTGTTCAAATTTTTCAGGAGAATTTGAACTCACTCATTCTAAAGAAAGTTGGGTTGCTTGGGGGGGTTGACAAAGAAATGAAGAAACTTTTTGGCTTGGTCTCAACTATTCAGGTTGTGCTGAAGATACGAGGAGAAGCAGCTAAAGTAAAAGTAACAAATACTTGTCCCTTCTTAGATTAGTTGGTAATCTGTTCTTTCTTAACTGGCCAGCACATGACTCAAATTTCCGAGTCAGTTTTCTGCCATAAATTCTTCCTTACAATATTGACTTTCTCTACACGCAAGTCTCCATTCCATTTACTCAGGCCACCTTATCTCCTTCCCATAACATTTTTTTCTCTGTGCATTGGATTCTCAAAATTGCCATTGCAAATGGCTGACCCTTTTATTTGAACGAAATAGAGACAACAACAGGAACAAAATATAATAGTAAAACAAATCAAACAGTAAACAAAGAAAATAATACGCGTGATTTATCCTGGTTCACCCAATGTAGGCTATGTCCAGTTGAGTCAATATTATTGCAATATGCCTCACCTCTCTCGTTTACAATGAATGAATTGCTCTCACACACATAACAAGAGAAAAGTATGATTATATACTAGGTTTAAGAGATTAAACCTAGTTTTACAAGGATTCCTATTCCTAAACCCAACCCAAAAAGGACCCCCGAGTGCGTCTCCGTTACCCATTAATGCTGAAGTATTCGACAACTCCAACATTATTCAAGTTTTGCGGGAGAATTTGAACTCACTCATCCGAAAGGAGTTTGGGTTGCTGTGGGGTGTTGACAAAGACATGAAAAAACTTTCCAGCTTGCTCTCAACTCCTCAAGCTGTGCTGGAAGATGCTGAGGAGAAGGAAGCGCAAGACAAGGCGCTTCAGAATTGGCTGCAGAAGCTAAAAGAAGCAGCTTATAAGGTAGATGACATCTTGGATGATTGTGCAACAGAAGTCTCTCGATTAGAGTCTAAAGACCAAAATTCATGGTGTATCAACAAGGTAAACACTCCTCTCTTAAATGACCTTCGTCCAGATACTATTTTATTTTGTCACAAGATTGGCATTAGGATGAGAGAGATTAGCGAGAGGTTAGATGAAATTGCAGAGGAGAGGACAAAGTTTCATTTGACTGAGGCAGTTTCACAGAAGGGAGCTGAAGTCGGAGAAGAACGCCAAACTGGCTCCATCATTACTCAATCTCAAGTGTATGGTAGAGATAAAGATAAAGAAATAAACGTTGAAAATTTGGTTAATCATGTAGCTTGTGTTGGAGTTGGGCCTAACTCCTCACCCAATAGGCTTTATTGAATAGGAGAATTGCCCACTTTTATAAACTCATTGGCTTGAGCGTGTCAAGTCGATATAAAATCTTCAACACTCCCTCTTACAGTCAAGCCCATATGGTCCACTTGCCTATGAATGGAGGTAGTTTGACAACCCACTGCTGGTCAATTATTCAACTCATATGGGGTTGGCTCTGATACTACTTGTTGGAGTTGGGCCTAACTCCTCACCCAAAATGCCTTATTGAGTAGGAGGATTACCCACTCTTATAAACTCATTAGCTTGAGCGTGCCTAGTCGATATGGGATCTCCAACAACTTGTTTTGATGACATTTCTATCTACCCTGCTATTAGTAGTGGGGGGCTTGGGAAGACAACGCTTGCTCAGGTGGTCTACAATGATGAGAGAGTGAGCATGCACTTTGAGCTGAGAATTTGGGTTTGCATTTCAGAGGATTTCAGTGTGAAGAAGATCATAAAAGCCTTCAAAGTATATTGAACAGGAACTGTTTGTGAAGATCTAGAGTTAGACCCTTTGCAGAGACGCCTTCAAAGTATATTGAACAGGAAAAGGTATTTGCCTGAGCTAAATGATGTATGGAGTGAAGATGAAGAGAAATGGGATAGATTAAAGTGTGTGTTGGCATGTGGATTGAAAGGTGCTTCGATTATTGTCACAGCTCGAAGTAGAAAGGTTGCATCCATTATGGGAACGCTTCCCATGCATCATTTGTCAAGATTATCAGAAGATGAATGCTCGTTGTTGTTTAAAGAACGGGCATTTGGACAAGAGAAAGAAGAACGTCCAAACCTTGTTGCAATAGGGAAAGAGATAGTGAAGAAGTGTAGCGGTGTGCCTCTGGCTGTGAAGTCTCTTGGAAGCTTGATGCGTTATAAAAGTGAGGAAAATGAGTGGCTTTCTATCAAGGAAAGTGAGCTCTGGAATTTGCCACAAGATAAAAATTCCATCTTACCAGCCTTAAGATTGAGTTACTCCCATTTGCCATCGAAAATAAAAAGATGTTTTGCCTTTTGTGCTGTCTTCCCAAAGGATTCTGAAATTGAGAGACAAAAGTTGATTCATCTTTGGATGGCCAATGGCTTTATTCAGGGCAGTCAAAATTTTGAGCCTGAAGATGTTGGCATTGAGATATGCAATGAACTATATTGGCGATCCTTTTTTCAAGATGCAAAAAAAGATAAGTTTGGGAATAATTTATTATTTAAAATGCATGATCTTGTTCATGATCTTGCACAATTTATTGTGAAGGATGAATTTGCTGTCATGGAGGCCGAAGGTTCAACTAATATCTCAAAAAGCACTCTTCATGTCAGAATAGATGTTGATTTGGGCCAATCATCATATAAAGGTTGTGAAGCTTTGTACGGAGTTGAAACCTTAAGGACAATAATCATGGCTCCAGCTTTTAGAACATGTAATGTCTGGGGATCTTTTTGTGACATCTCAAGATTAATCTCGTTGAGAGTTCTCTGTGTGCCTAACATTGGAGTGTCGTTGTCATCTTCAATTCGCTATTTAAAGCATCTAAGGTACCTAGACTTTTCTCGCACCTATATCAAACTGCTTCCGGAATCACTTTGTAGCTTGCTTAATTTGCAGACTTTGAATCTGAATCAATGTCATCGACTTCGGAAGCTACCTAAGCGCATGAGATGCTTGAAAAATCTTCGACATCTTTATCTGAATGGTTGTACCAAGTTATCTCAAATGCCTCCACATATTGGACAGATCACTTGCTTAAAAACTTTAACTCTCTTCATCGTGGGTGAGAGGAGAGGTTGCCACTTGGCTGAATTGAAAGGTTTAAATCTTGGAGAAGAATTATGTGTCACGCATCTTAATAGAGTGGGCAATCTGATGGATGCCCAAGAAGCCAATTTGGTTGAAAAAAAGAATCTACGCCGCTTGGAATTATCTTGGGAACTTGATAGTGAATCGGAATCTCAGGAAAAGGTTGAAAAAGTATTTGAAACTCTCCAGCCTCACTCAAACCTTGAAATTTTGAAAATTCAAGGTTATAAAGGTGCCAAATTTCCAGTTTGGATGGATTATCAAATTCTGAGTAATGTTGTTTCTATCACGCTCTCTGATTGTGAGAATTGTCGACAACTTCCTCCCTTGTGGCAACTTCCTCGGCTTCGATATCTTACAATTGAAAATTTGATTAACCTAGAGTACATTGTTGCAAGTTTCCAAGGTGAAAGAAAATTCCTGTCTTTGGAGGAACTCATTATTCATAGATGTCTGAGATTGCAAAGGTTGTCAAGACAGGATGGAAGCGAGTTATTCTCATGTCTTACGGAGCTAGAAATTTACTACTGTCCTGAATTAACCCTGCCATGCCTTCCTTCAGCAAAAAGTTTACAGATTTATTCCTGCAATGGGGAACTTCTAAAATCAATCTCACATTTCAGAAGCCTTACTTACCTAAAACTTGATACAAATTGCGATTTAGTTTACCTTCCTCATGGGATTCTGCAAAATCTCTCCTCTCTTCGCGAAATGTCTATTATAAGATTCAAAAAGCTTAAAGGGTTTGCCACAGATCAAGCTAGCTCTAGTGGTCTTAAATCGTTAACAATTTCTGAATGCCCTGAGCTTGAGGCTTTTCCGGAGCAAGTACTGGAAGGCCTAAACTCTCTTCAGCATTTGACTTTAGAAATGTGCATAAAGTTCTCAAATTTGTCAGAGGGGTTACGACATCTCTCCGCCCTTGGAAAGCTTGACACTTAATGGTTGCCCTGAGTTGGTGACTTTTCCGAATAGTGTCAAATACCTTAGTTCCCTCCGTGAGTGACAATGTGTGGCGAACCCGATCATTTCGCGATGGGATTTGTGGCTTGACCTTTGCAACAGAATGTGGCAAAGAACACATTAATTGTCCAAAGTTGACAGTGCTGCCTGAGTCCATGAGGTATGTCCCTGCACTGCAAAAATTGAGCATATGCCGGTACCCTGAACTAGCATCATTGCCTCACTGGCCAGGAGACCTAACATCTCTTCAGTCTTTGAATATTTATGAATGCCCAAAGTTGTCATCTCTTCCAGCCAGCATCCAGAGCTTGACCAATCTACAAAATTTGTTCATATCCGAATGCCCTGAACTAGTGAAGCGATGTGAGAAGGAAACAGGAGAAGATTGGTACAAGATAGCACATGTTGCGAACGTTATTGTGAGTATACTAAATAATTACTAGTTGCGTCAAGTTGGGAGGTATGGCAATCAGTGTGTCCCTTTTCAATTTCTTCAATTGCTTAACATTTTGTCTCCATAAACATAGATTATATTTGTTTTGTTGCAGGTATGAAGAGCTACTGATATTGCAGGAATGCCGTGAAGGTATGAACTGTTAGTTGATGCTTATTGATAATTATTAATTAATGTGAAACTTTCATGTAATAGTATATGTATATACATGTTTCTGCTTTAGTATATAACCTAAAACCATGAAAAGGCTCTGTGACCAATTTCATTGGTTATGCTTTTCTCCTTGTATGGAGAGAACTAAACTAAATTGCCACATACTGGTTTTTCATATTCATTTGTATCTAAATTTTTGTTTGATTGTTTGCGAAATTCTTATGGAATTCAACTGGTATGACAAAGGTTAGCGGTTTGCTTGGAAGGAAGAGTTATTTAAATTTGCAATTAAATTTAACAATTGAAGAAGGTGACAGTTTCAAGCCTCAAGAACTTAAACTTTGGGTCAACTTAAATTAAATTCCGGCGATGGAGAAACTGAAGACTGTTGCCGGTCCTAATGGCATTCGTTGCCATTAGCGTTACAATTTTCATAATTCGTCTTCTTTACATTCTTATTTAACGGGAAAACTAGCCACTCTCAACGCTCGTGTTTTTAGGTTCAAGTGAGTCTATTTGATTAATTAAACCAATCAAATTGCTGTTCTTTTATTATTATAATTCATCAGATTATTGTCAATTGAATTTGTGAAGGCGGACACACGGCGGAGATGAGAATCTCTTATCGGTACTGCAAATGGACAGGTTTGCGCCGCGCTTTTACATTGCTGTTGCCATTGATAATATGAGTCTTCAAAAGGCTCGCGTTTTTGAGGATTCTTTGGTTCATAAGGTATATTCTGTTATTAAATTGTGCGTTTTTATCCCTAATTGCACAAAAAAGAAAAGGAAATAAACTCTATATATGATGTTAAAACAGAACAGTACATCCAGAAGATCATGTTCTGTCATCTACACGCAATCTAGCAGCAAAATGGAACAATTCTAAGTTCAGCAAAAACAAAGATAGAGACTGAACTTCAAGGGTCAGTCACCTCCCTTCTAAACCTTAACCTTCCTTCGAATATCCCTCAATCCCTCTGTCCGTCACTTTTATTCCCTGACACCTTTTGCTCATAACCAAATTCTTCATCCTTCCAATCTCATTAAGCCACCTGTCCTCCCAAAAACAACTCCTAACACTCATGCATAACAAATATTCCTCTCTTTCACCTCTACGCTTCTACTGTAGACCAACCTCCCAAGTGGCTCATCAGAAAACAAATGATTTAGCATGATGCTAGAACCCCTAAATGGTTAGGGAGTAGTCCGAATAGAATTTTTAGATTGAGTTGTGGGGACTGATTTAAAGTGAGTTTGCTTACTGGTTTTAGGGGATTTCTGAAGGAAAACAAAAGTTCCAAGTTAGTGACTCCAAGCTTTGGTATGGAACTCCTTGAAACATTGTATACCATCTGTTATATAGGTGGTCGTTTAGAAGTTCTCTTTATGTGTTGCTCTCTATTTACATATACTGTATATGCAAATAACTGATATCAGTCATCAAGTTGCACACACTCTGCCTTTTTTGGATGCATGATATTACGAATCTTATTGTGTAATGTCTAAATTAACATGTGAATGGTGGAATCAAGAGAATTTTTTTTCTGTTATCTGGATGATGTTAAATGGATACATAAATGCCATTCATTTCACTTAAAAGTTGCATCACATGTATTGCACCTGATTATGGTATGGTTGTCTTTTCTTCCAAATCATGCATTTACTAATTTAAGTCTTTTTCATTTAATTGGCTTTTGTTTATCTCAGAATGTAGTCAAGGATCCTCTGCACAGTCATGCAGATCTACAGAAGCAGGGAAGTTGGTCATCATATATAGCTCTGTTGGACAACTTTACTTGCTATGCTCATGCACTGTGGCTAATGATTAGAATAGACCACAAGTGGTATTAGCTTTGACCTTTACCTCTTGTGTTCTGTTGTAGTTATTGCAATGTTACTTAAGCATTTTCTTAAATCTTATAATCACTGATTATCAAATCTTTCCATCTAGGTTCTTTGCAAGGACCTGGGAATTGTATTCCTCTATGCGTAAATGCATTTTTATTTGGTATGTAGAAGTACATTCTGAACCCTTAGGTTTTACTTTTTCTTGGCTAGATAAAGGCTGAAGTGATGGTTTAGAGTCCCTGATTTTACTTTGTCATCTTTGCCTGCAGGTCCGAGGATATCTGGACCTTCTTCAACCTGTATGAAATGCTTCCTAGATCAATCTGTGGCTTGCTTAATTTGCAGACTTTGAAGCTGGAAAGCTGTGTGTTCTTCAGGAACTACCTAAACACATGAGACGACTGAAAAATCTTCGACATTTTACCTAAGTAATTGTGTCTCATTATGTCATATGCCGCCAAAAATGGGCAAATCATTGCCTTAAAGACTTTAACTCTTTTCATTGTGGGTAATACAAAAGGTTCTCTCATAGCTGAACTGAAAGGACTAAAACTAGGAAAGCTACATATAAACATCTTGACAGAGTGAGCAATCCAATGCATGCCAAAGAAGCAAATTTGTCCGGAAAGCAAAGTCTCCACGGCTTGTACTTGTCTTGGGAACTTGATAATGAGATTGAACAGCAGGAAAAGCTGAAAGGGTTCTTGAAACCCTTGAGCCTAACCCACACCTTAAATTTTAGTCAAAGAGGATTACAAAGGCACAAAATTTTCACTCTGGATGAGAGAGCTAATTCTTAGAAAGTTGTTTCTATCAACCTTACAAGATGTAGGAACTGTTGCCAACTACCACTCTTAGGGCAACTTCCGCCTTCGATATCTTACAATAATTGGGATGACTCATGTTTGTACATTGACCATAGTCTTCAAGATGGTGTAATGATGAGAAGATTCCCATGTTTGAAGAACCTCGATCTTAGAGATTTGCCGAGTTTGCAAAGGTTATCAAGAGAGATGGAAGAGAGCTACTCCCATGTCTTACCCGCTTTAAGTATAACCAACTGCCCAAAGTTGAGCTTGCCATGTCTTCCTTCAGTGAAAGACTTGAAAGTGAGGGGCTGTAGTGAGGTGTTTCCTAAAATCAATCTTCAGTCTCAGAAGCCTTACGTACCTTTCTTCAACATTAAACAGAGTTCCACAGGGGATGCTGCAAAACTTCACCTTCTTCAGTCACTGGCCATTGAAAATTTCAGCAAGCTTAAGAGTTTTCCCACAGAACTAGTCAGCTTGGTGCTGTTAGAACATTGTGTATTAGGACATGCCATGAGCTTGAGTCTTTTCCGGAGCAAGGACTGGAAGGCCTCAATTGTCTTCAGCATTTGGATTTAATCAACTGCAGAAGGTTTTCATCTTTGTCAGAGGGGTTAGAACGCCTTCTACCTTGAGAGGCTGAATCGTAAGGCTGCCAGAGCTGGTGGCTTTGCCAGATGGTATTAAATACCTTAGTTTGCTCCAGCACCTAACCATATCTGGTAAATTCACAGGTTTTGATGCCCGTTATAGCCCAAGAAAATGGTTTTCATAGGTTGATAGTTATGAAGGACAGTCCTGAAGAATCTGATTTTCGTCCTAAATTGGTTGCCTTGCCTGAGTCCTTACGACATGCCCTGGCACTGAAAGAATTGAGCATAAGCTGCTACCCTAATCTAGCATCATTGCCTCACTGGTTGGGAGACCTTACATCTCTTCGGTCTTTGCGAATATTTGATTGCCCAAAGTTGCCATCTCTTCCAGCAAGTTTTCAGAGCTTCACCAATCTACAAAACTTGGGCATTTCAGAATGCCTGAAACTGGTGAAGCAATGCGAGAAGGAAACAGGGGAGGGGATGACTGGTACAAGATAGCACATGTTCCAAACATGACGTGGAACCCCTGCGGTAAACGGAAACATAAAAGACTAAGTTGCATTAAGTGATAGGTATGGGGCCTTTCCAAGCTTTCTTCTTATGCTTATCATAAGTTCAAAATTTTGTTCTCACTATAAACATTATATGGATCCGTTGCGACATGATGAGCTAGGGCCGCTCTATCACAGCCACTCAGGTGTTTGTGGGCAGTTAATTCCAACATTACGCCAGCCAAGGCGGAAATTTCATGTAACAAGTATTATTATTTTTTTGGTTTTTTGTTTTAATGAGGATGTAATGTATATATTGAGGTAGCAGTTATGTTTGAATATCTTTGTATTGTAAATAAATGTGTTCTGCTCGTCCTTATGTGGTGTATACCAAAGACTTTTTTTTTTTTTTTTTTCAACGTTTTACAATTATTCTGTGATTCCCTTTTGTAGATATGGAATAATGTAAAACGACATGGTTGATGTTTGAATGATTTGTTTGATTCTGTCAATGCAATCAATTCTTGAAACCCTAGCTAAGAGTAAGAGAAAAACTGTTGCTTGTCCATAGTGTTGTTTATCAGCACACAAACGTTTCTATATTATTTGCTAGTTCTTGCAATCACAATTTCTCTCTGAGTTTGGAATTTTGAACTTGCATTTCAAACGGGCTTCTGTCAAATTTTTCAGGAGAATTTGAACTCACTCATTCTAAAGAAAGTTGGGTTGCTTTGGGGTGTTGACAAAGAAATGAAGAACTTTTGGCTTGGTCTCAACTATTCAGGTTGTGCTTGAAGATACAGAGGAGAAGCAGCTTAAAGTAAAAGTAACAAATACTTTGCCCTTCTTAGATTAGTTGGTAATCTGTTCTTTTCTTAACGGCCAGCACATGACTCAAATTTCCGAGTCAGGTTTTCTGCCATAAATTCTTCCTTACAATATTGACTTTCAAGCTACACGCAAGTCTTCCAATTCCATTTACTCAGGCCACCTCTATCTCCTTCCCATAACAAATTTTTCTCTGTGCATTGGATTCTAAACTTGCAATTGCAAATGGCTGACCCTTTTATTTGAACGAAATGAGACAACAACAGGAACAAATATATAGTAAAACAAATCAACAGTAAACAAAGAAAATAATACGCGTGATTTATCCTGGTTCACCCAATGTAGGCTATGTCCAGTTGAGTCAATATATTGCAATATGCCTCACCTCTCTCGTTACAATGAATGAATGCTCTCACACACATAACAAGAGAAAAGTATGATTATATACTAGGTTTAAGAGATTAAACCTAGTTTTACAAGGATTCCTATTCCTAAACCCAACCCAAAAAGGACCCCGAGTGCGTCTCCGTTACCCATTAATGCTGAAGTATTCGACAACTCCAACATTATTCAAGTTTTGCGGGAGAATTTGAACTCACTCATCCGAAAGGAGTTTGGGTTGCTGTGGGTGTTGACAAAGACATGAAAAAACTTTCCAGCTTGCTCTCAACTCTCAAGCTGTGCTGGAAGATGTCGAGGAGAAGGAAGCGCAAGACAAGGCGCTTCAGAATTGGCTGCAGAAGCTAAAAGAAGCAGCTTATAAGGTAGATGACATCTGGATGATTGTGCAACAGAAGTCTCTCGATTAGAGTCTAAAGACCAAAATTCATGGTGTATAACAAGGTAAACTCCTCTTAAATGACCTTCGTCAGATATATTTATTTTGTCACAGATTGGCATTAGGATGAGGAGATTAGCGAGAGGTTAGATGAAATTGCAGAGGAGAGGACAAAGTTTCATTTGACTGAGGCAGTTTCACAGAAGGGAGCTGAAGTCGGAGAAGAACGCCAAAGGCTCCATCATTACTCAATCTAAGTGTATGGAGATAAGATAAAGATAAAGAAAAGAAATAACGTTGAAAATTTGGTTAATCATGAGCTTGTGTTGGAGTTGGGCCTAACTCCTCACCCAATAGGCTTTATTGAATAGGAGAATTGCCCACTTTTATAAACTCATTGGCTTGAGCGTGTCAAGTCGATATAAAATCTTCAACACTCCTCTTACAGTCAAGCCCATATGGTCCCATTGCCTATGAATGGAGGTAGTTTGACAACCACTGCTGGTCAATTATTCAACTCATATGGGGTTGGCTCTGATACACTTGTTGGAGTTGGGCCTAACTCCTCACCCAAATCCTTATTGAGTAGGAGGATTACCACTCTTATAAACTCATTAGCTTGAGCGTGCCTAGTCGATATGGGATCTCCAACAACTTGTTTTGAGACATTTTCTATCTACCCTGCTATTAGTAGGGGGGCTTGGGAAGACAACGCTTGCTCAGGGGGTCTACAATGATGAGAGAGTGAGCATGCACTTTGAGCTGAGAATTTGGGTTTGCATTTCAGAGGTTTCAGTGTGAAGAAGATCATAAAAGCCTTCAAAGTATATTGAACAGGAACTGTTTGTGAAGATCTAGAGTAGACCCTTTGCAGAGACGAATTCAAAGTATATTGAACAGGAAAAGGTATTTGCCTGAGCTAGATGATGTATGGAGTGAAGATGAAGAGAAATGGGATAGATTAAGTGTGGTGTGGCAGTGGATTGAAAGGTGCTTCGATAATGTCACAGCTCGACGTAGAAAGGTTGCATCCATTATGGGAACGCTTCCCATGCATCATTGTCAAGATTATCAGAAGATGAATGCTCGTTGTTGTTTAAAGAACGGACATTTGGACAAGAGAAAGAAGAACGTCCAAACCTTGTTGCAATAGGGAAAGAGATAGTGAAGAAGTGTAGCGGTGTGCCTCTGGCTGTGAAGTCTCTTGGAAGCTTGATGCGTTATAAAAGTGAGCAAATGAGTGGCTTTCTGTCAAAGAAAGTGAGCTCTGGAATTTGCCACAAGATAAAAATTCCATCTTACCAGCCTTAAGATTGAGTTACTCCCATTTGCATCAAAATAAAAAGATGTTTTGCCTTTTGTGCTGTCTTCCCAGGATTCTGAAATTGGAGACAGAAGTTGATTCATCTTTGGATTGCCAGTGGCTTTATTCAGGGCAGGTCAAAATTTTGAGCCAGAAGATATTGGCATTGAGATATGCAATGAACTTATGACGATCCTTTTTCCAGATGCAAAAAAAGACGATTTTGGGAATAATTTATTATTAAAATGCATGATCTTGCACAAGTTATTGTGAAGGATGAATTTGTTTTTATGGAGGCCAAAGGTTCAAATATTTCTCAAAAGGCACTTTTCATGCAAGAAAAATCTTGACTTGTTGCAATCTTCATGTACAAGTTTGAAGCTTTGTATGGAGTTGAAACCTTAAGGACATTAATCATGGCTCCAGCCTCGGGATTTTGTGACATCTCGAGATTAATCTCATTGAGAGTTCTCCGTATGCCTGCAATTGGAGTGTCGTTGTCATCTTCAATTCGGCATTTTAAGCATCTAAGATACCTGGACTTTCTCACATATATAAACAACTTTCTAATCACTTTGCAGCTTGCTTAATTTGCAGACTTTGAATCTAAAAAATTGTTTAAATCGGAAGCTACCTAAGCACATGTGATCCTTGAAAAATCTTCGACATCTTTATCTGAATAACTGTTACGACTTATCTCAAATGCCTCTAGATATTGGACAGACACTTGCTTAAAAACTTTAACTCTCTTCATGTGGGTAGGATGACAGGTTGTCCCATGGCTGAATTGAAAGATTTAAATCTTGGAGAAGAAGTAGTGTCAGCATCTTAATAGAGTGGGCAATCTATGGATGCCCAATAAGCCAATTTGGTTGAAAAACCGAACCTACGCCGCTTGGAACTATCTTGGGAACTTGATAGTGAATTGGAATCCCAGAAAAAGGTTGAAAAAGTATTTGAAGCCCTCAGCCTACCCAAACCTTGAAATTTTGATGATTGAGGTTATAAAAGTGCCAAATTTCCAGTTTGGATGGATTATCAAATTTGAGTAATGTTGTTTCTCACGCTCTCTCACTAAGAGAATTGTCGACAACTTCCTCTCTTGTGGCAATTATTCTTTCAATTTGAATTTGATTCACCTGAAGTATTTTGACCTAGTTTCCAATGCGAAAAAGATGAGAAAGTTTCCGTCTTTGGAGGAACTCATATTCATAAATTGCGAGATTGCAGAGGTTGTCAAGACATGATAGAAGCGAGTTATTCCCATGTCTTATGAAGCTAGAAATTTACGACTGTCCTAAATAACGCTACCATGTCTTCCTTCAGCAAAAAGTTTACGATTCGTTCTGTAATGGGGAACTTTTAAAATCAATCTCACATTTCAGAAGCCTAATTTACATTATGTTGATAGAATTCGCAATTTAGTTTACCTTACTCATGGGATTCTGCAAAATCTCTCCTCCCTTCGCAAAATGTATATCGAAATTTTGAAAAGCTTAAAGGGTTTGACACAGATCTAGTTAGCTTAGTGGTCTTAAATCGTTATATATTTTTCATTGCCCTGAGCTTAAGGCTTTTCTGGAGGAAGTACTGGAAAGCCTAAACTCTCTTCAGCATTTGACTTTAGAAATGTGCATAAAGTTTTCAAATTTTTTCAAGGGTTACAACATCTCTCCGCCCTTGAAAGTTGAGGCTTAATGGCTGCCCGAGCTGGTGACTTTTCCGAATGGTATCAAATACCTTGGTTCCTCGGGAGTTGACCATATGTGGCAAACCCGCAGGATTTTTTGGTGACAGAAAAATCAATGAGAATTATAACTGTTTTTCCTTGAAAATTGTCCAACGTTGACAGTCTTGCCTGAGTCCTAAGGTAGTCCCTGCATTGCAAACATTGACCATATGTCGATCCCTGAACTAGCGTCATTGCCTCATTGGCTGGGAGACCTAACATCTCTTCAGTCTTTGCATATTCATGAATGCCCAAAGTTGTCATCTCTTCCAGCCAGCATCCAGAGCCTCACCAATCTACAATATTTGTACATTCCGAATGCCCTGAACTGGTGAAGCGATGTGAGAAGGAAACAGGAGAAGATTGGTA